GGGCATGCCGCCTCCCCAAACCACCCACCCCCCCCCTTCCCCTCCCCCTCCCCACTGTACTTCAGCTTCGCCAGCGCGAATAGCGTCACAAACCCTGGACCCAAGCAGCCAAGCCACTCCAGCAACTGGTGCATCGCAACTTTCGCAAGCTCCCCGTCACCTTGTCACCTCGCTGAGACCGGTGGCATGTACGTGGCTCTCGCGCGCCTATAGCCCAATATCCCGTGATATATTAGCGTAGAGTGGTTGTACTTGGTGTGGAGGAAAACACAATATTATATCAGATTACTCTTGATGGCCGGCAAATATACTAGTAGGCACATGTCAACTCGTACCCGGGCATATACAATTGCCTCAAACTTCTGCCGGCATCAACAAGCTTTTTTGGCCTCTGCCAGGGCCCCTACAAGGCTGCGATTGGGCGGGCTATCATGACAAAACACCTATTGATTGATCCCCAGCCTACGGCGTGTCCAGCCAGGTACGCTAGCATCTGGACCTTCATGCGAACATGGACGACCCGGCAACCCGCAGCTGCGCATCAGCAAGCATCGCCCTGGTATGCGAACATGCTCCACGGCCACGAGCACGAGGCAAGGCTCACGGGCCAAGACGCAAGAGCGACGGGAAAAAAAAACCAGCTTCACTGCTAGTATTGTACAAAATGGGTTTTGCCGTTGGTCCATCCAACTGTAGCTGCCCTACATCGCCGACCCAGAACGACCAGGTCGCCTAGCAAAGATCTTCCGGTTGCTCAGCGGAGAGTGGGGAATTGAAGGGACCGAAAGCATCAAACCAAGACAGTCCTACTCCTTATCTGCCTCCCTGGTTGAACCAGGGACGGAGTAATTCACGTACAGTATTTTGGATGGGCATGTCCGGGGCTCGTCCGGGGTTTCAATGCCTTCAGCCTCTGTTCTGGGAAAACGCTATACGGATAGCGCTGAGGTCATGTGGTGTCATGGAAAACGTCAAGCTGCTGCTGCTTCTTGACGCAAAGATGAGCACGTTGAGCGGGACAGCAGGGTCAAGATGATTACACCAGATTCCAACCGTTGGCTCCCGCCTGCAAAACGAGCGGCTTAAGGGAATTTGGACGCTCTTAGCGTTGACACGACCGCTGCAGTTGCATGCTGCATGCCAGATGGTGATAATTTTGGCCGATAAGACTCCATAGTTGTTGCCTGTGCTATCAATGCATTCAAGGTCACGCAGACTGCGTTGCTGACAGAGAAACACCGACTCGAACCCTTGTCCGAATCGGTTCGTTTTTTTTTTTTTTTTTTTAGATTGGAAAATCTCGGCCAAATCAAGACCTTCGCCCTTCAACTATTACTATATAACATGTCATCCAAGACTCGGATGATGAGCTGGGGGTGTATTGGTTCACAGCGAACTATTAGCTTCGTCGGGGCCGGATAAAATCCCATCAATTGATCCCCCAAAGCTCCCTTGCATCAAACGCCTTTCTTCTTTCTTACATACATATGTACATAGGTACCGAGTACATGCTATGCTACCCCCATATACTACTCCGTATGGGCAGAATCGCGGCTTCTCCCACAATTCCCACTCACACCCGCCCGCCCACATTGTGACTCGGGTGTTCTGGTTCAAGGTCTCAGTGCATTAATTTTAAGGGGTCTCCTCACAGCTGGCAATGGACAGTTGCAATGGAGCCGGCCAAGAAAGAACATTGGAAGAGCTGATTGTGTTCGCTCCGGCCGGAATCCTCCCAACACGCGACGGTTTATGACATGGGCGAGACAGGTTTGACAGGCTCATCCCGCATCCCTTGACTTGGCATGGGAGCCGGATCTCGATTAGGATCAGCTGAGTCAACCCTTTGAATGTAGCATGCACGCCCAGTCGCCTTGACGATATTCTGACGCACATTGTTAATTCTGCATGTACGGAGTAGGTATGTGTACTCTGTATGTATGTGTCTATATGCACCTAGGTATGTTCGTGTACATGATCGTCGGCGGCACTAATCGAGCTTGCATGCAACCTCCCACGGCACAAAGGTACGTACTATTTAAATATTCAACACGTGCAGCGCTCCGGTGGGAGAATCAATCTTCAATTGCGGCGGCATGAGATATGCAAGCCGGTTAATTGCTGTATTGTACTAATTGCGTCCCATGGCCAGTATTTTCTCCTCATATTAACGTTAATAGCTCATTGCCGGAATTAGAATTGTAAACAAGGCGCGGGCCCAGCCTTGAACCAAACTGGAAGCAGCCCAAGTCAACCCAGGCGCCCTGATGCATGCTTTTGGCACAAAGACAGCCAACTGCATTGGTTGTGTCTTCTATGCGACGTAGAATTGGTCCATTTGGGGACATGCATGTCAGACCAGGGGGGGCGGAGGGGCGGAGGGGCGGCGGGGAACGTCCCAACTACTAGGTACCTAACCTAGGTCCGTAGCTATTCCTGCTCCGTACTGCTCTGTGGTTGCTCGAGACTACCAGAGAGGGGTCTGGTGTTGGAGCGGAGTGCATTCGGTAAGCCTCAGGCTCAGACAAATACGTACCGTCAAGCTCGGAACTTGCTTCACAAAATAGTGCGCGCAGTTGGGAAGGAAAAAAAATAATCATAATCATAATGAAGCCAGGGCGTGCATAGACCACCAGCAACAGTCTCTCAAACGCCCAACGGCGGTGTGTACTAGGGGCAGTGTCACCAAGATGATGACGTTGCGCCTCCAGGGTTCTTCTATCCGGCAGTAAAGACGATGGTTTGTCGATTACCCAACCGCAGTCCCGATTTCCTCGACCGCGAATTTCGACAGCTCGCAATGCACAAGACGTCATACCATACCCTCGCACTGCCCTTTCTTGGCCTTTCGTTTTGGCGGTCGGCGGAACAGTCGGAGTCATCATCATCACAAAGGCAAGGATGCACGAACGCCCATTCTCTGCCCACCAGCATGTTCCTTGAACACCATGCCCCGGGTAGTTGCAAGCCCAGATCTTGCCATTGGCTTGAGATCGAATCTCCATCAGTTTCGCATCATCCGATAGTCTGCCTATCCATGAAATCACGAGTTCGCAACCGACAGCACCTAACTAATCATGGCACCTATACGGAGTACGCCGCAGAAATGCGAAACTCCCAGGACAAAACAAGCACCAAGCGCCCGCGTCCTTTGTTTACTTCAGCCACGGCGCTTACTGCCTTGTCACAGGGCTGACAATGTTCTGTCATGACCCCCCGGCAAAGCCAATTGCCGACCTAGCTCGTCTTTTGTCCTCGAGCTCGAGCAGAGACGACAATACATAACTAACTTACGGAGTAGGTACGTGTTACTCGAGAAACTGCCAATGGCCAGGCTGCCAGCGCCCACCGAACTCCTCCAAAAGGCAAGGCCTCGGGCACGGCGAACAAGGGATATCACACAATATTGTCCAATCACTTCATGGAACGACTCATCTCCAGCTAGTGTCCACCGCTCAGCTGGTCCCAGGTCCTTCCAGTTTTCCTAAAAGAGCTGCCCAGACCGCGGATCCCCCGCCACATCAAACTTCAACAATGGCGAAACGCACTTACGCCCTGCTAGGCTGTGTCCAGGAGAGAGCACTTTAGTGCTTTGATTGTCAAGCTGCCTCAGAACGAGTCTTCTGACCTTGTTTCTGACGAAGCGGGGGACCAAAAGCGAACACCATGGGCTAATTATATTATGAAGCCTCATCTCCGTACTCCATATATTACATGAGTTGGTTTGAGACTCGACCGGAAGCTGAAGCTGGTTTTGGTTTTTGAATTGTCCAAGCTTGCCAGAGTTCAGACAGAATCCGGGCCCCATCGAAGCGTCGCATGGATGGATGCGTCGGCGTCGCGTAAATAAAGTAAACAAAAGTTGGTCAATAAAACTGCGCTTGAGCGCGTCTTACCCCGCCCAGCAACGCCCTTCGGCTCCCGCGAAGTCGCGAAGTCACGTGTTTGAACACCGAACTCGCTCACCGGAGAACCCTTGGCCGGGGACCAGACCCACTTTGTAACCGTCACTTCTTCAGTGTGGTTTGCTCAACAGCGCTTGTACAACAAACCAAAGTGTTTCAGGTTGGCAAGGCTCGGGGCAGACGTGTAGCTTTCTGCAGGATGATAAATACGAACATGCACATCTCGCTCCATTGATATGGCATAATATTTAAATCAATCGGTAGACTGAGCAAACCACTCCAAGAGATGAGCATCGAATAGTAGACCTTGGGAAATGGAGCGGAATTCTGTTAGATTTGGCTCTGTCTTCAAAAGCTTCTCCATCTCCGCACGCATACATGAGACGAAGCGTCCAAAGATGGGATAATATGCTCCGAGGCATGGAGAACAATACCGCCTAAAACGTACCTAGTTTCAAAACACCCCATGGGATCCGTGCTTTGTTTGACATATCGTACCGACTTACAAATATCAAAAGTTTCCAGACCACAAGAAATACTAGGTACTTCAACACATCGCCAGTTTAGGGTAGCCAGGCCGGCGAAGTGGGACTACGATGCCGAAAGTGGGGCGCAATATAGAGCGGTCAAAGTCGGCAGAACCAAATTATCTAGGGAATTTCCCATCTACAGCTGCGAATTTACTAATACGACAACAATCGAGTGCGAATTCTTTTGCCAGACCACTAAAGACAAATGGCAGGGAAAAGAAAGAGAGGGGCCAAAGATGGCGCCAATACCGGGTCTATCGGTCCCAAAAAGGCGAAAAAGGACATGAAATCAATCCACCTTTCCTCCAAACCGGACATTGAAAAGAAACCATTCGTTGAAGTGCCGACTGGTGATGATCGAAGACGAGAAGCAGACTTATACGAAATGCTGGGAAGCGAAGACGAAAAGGACAGAATCCAGGCCGCCGACTGTATTATTTCAAGTCTTTTTGACGGCGAAGGAGCTTCTGAGGCTGTTCTCCAACGACATCTCGACCGGCGCTTGTTTCGAGGCCTCGCGAGCGGTCGCAATGCTTCTCGCATTGGATTTTGCCTCGTGATCACCGAGATTTTGGCTCAACTATTCGGAGAAAAGGATCTTTCAAAGACGAAATATACTGGACTGTCATTTGACAAGGTGTTGGGCCTCTTGGCTGAAAAAACTCAAGCCGTAGGCAATATTCCGGGGCAAGAAGAGCGAGACTTTTTTCTCGGCCAGCTATTCGGAATCGAGTGCTTTGTTAAGTCCAAGACTCTGTTCAGGGATATCTCGAGGTGGGACTCAGTCCTCAATCTGCTGCTGAAACTGGGCAACAAGAAAATCTGGCTTAGACCTCAATGTGGATGGGTGCTTGTCCAGGCTCTGGAGCAAATGGACCAAGCCGATGCGGAGAAAACGCTATACAAGATTGCACAAGCTAGCTTGGCAAAGACCCCAGAGGGGGCGGCCGCCTGGATTGTTACCCTCAATCGATTTCCTAGTTTGCAGCTCCAGCCGTGGAAGAACCCGCTTTCCAGCAAGTCTCTCCCTGACTTGACTGCAGTACTCAAAGAGAGCTTCAAGGAAAATGGGAAGGATATGAATGATAAAAGCCAGAACGGTGGCAAGCATGCATCATGGAGTGCCCAACTGCACTTTGTGTGGGATCTTATATTATCACGGTTTCTCAATGCCAAATCGGACAAAGGGGAGGAGGATTTCGAACAGTTCTGGAATCGGGTCGTCGATGGTATGCACTTTTTTTACTCTACTTTGCCATATAACACTTGCTGACCTTGATAAAGACGGGCTGTTTTCCAAACAAGCCACGGACGGACAAAAATTCAAGGGTTTCATGGTCTTTCAGAAGATGCTCGAAGGGTTCATTGAGGTCCCATCGAAACTGCAGTCACTTTTTAGTCGAAATCTCATGTCATGTCTGGTGAATCAAGCGTCGAAGGAGGACCGCTATTTGCACAGAGCTGCCATCAAAGCCCTGAAGTCTATCGAAGTGGTCGTGTCAGCTCACCCGTCATCTCTGACACCTGTTCTCGCCAACCTCCTCGGGAAGAATGGTGTATACAGTTTCGATCAGCGGACAAGTACAAAGACGGTGGACAGACTGTTGCAGAATATTAACGGAGAAAACGCGGAAGCTGTGTTGGCTGTTATTCGACAGCCTGTCATGACTTTGAAGCAAAAAGAAGCTGCTGACGCTCAGTCTATTGTTCGGACGTACGCTGATTACCTCGCCAAGATCCTGAATGCATTCGCCTCGGCGCCGTTAACAGATGATGAAGCTGAAGCCACCAAGGGGTCATTTGGGCCAGTACTGCAGGAACTCGCCGGATTGGCGTATGCTCAGCCAAAGGACATCTCGGAAGATGCTCTCACCGAACAAATTCGAGAAATGTGTCGCTCCCGCCTCGAGTCGTCACTTGCCAAGCTCGCTCGCTCAAGCAAAGACTTTGCCCTTTTCTGCGAAGCCGTAGCATCAATAGACGCCAGCGCAAAGAAGATGGCCCCAGAGATCAAAGAATCAATGGACGACGCCTTGGCACGCATGGGCAAGCTCCTGAAGCGGAAATCAAAGACACAAGGCGAAAAGGAGACAGCCCAGGGTCTCGCGATGCTCCACGCAATATCCATTTTCCAACTTTATAACGACGACCCTGATGCGATGGAAGTATTGAACGACCTTTCCCAGTTCTACGACAGACTTAAGGCAACAAAGGCGAGTAAACACGGCGAACAGAACGACGGTAGCTCAGAGCTGCTAGTTGAAATTCTTCTGTCGATGGTTGCTCGTCCCTCCTCTCTAATGAGACAAGTTTCTCAACAAGTCTTTGAGGCATTCACTGGCCAGGTATCCGCCGAGGGCTTGGAACTCCTTACCGGGCCACTAGCCTCAGACGAAAGTACAAAGGGCCAAAAGGAGCTCTTCAATACAGATGAAGACGCTATGGATGTAGACGAAAGTGAGGCGTCGGACGAAGACGAAGACGATCAACTCGAAGATGTCGAGGATGCCTCAGATTTTGAAATCGACTCCGACATGGAATTCGTTGGCCTCAACGGCGATGAAGACGGCGATGCCGCCTCCTCCTCATCGGATGATAACAGCCCTAAAAAGAACAAAGGCGAATGGAACAACCCCGAAGAACTAGACGACATGCTCGGCAAAATCCTCAACTCCCACCGCCTCGACAAAGACGTCGACGCCGCTTCCTCCTCCTCCGAAGACAACATGTCCGACTCGGAGATGTTCGCCCTAGACGAACAGCTCTCCGCCGCCATCGCCCCACGCATCAAATTGTCCCAATCTGACGCGAAAAAGGCCAAAAAGGACGCCAAGCAATCCGTCATCAACTTTAAACACCGCATTCTCGACCTCCTCGACATATACGTCAAGAACGAAGCCCTCAACACCCTAACCTACTCGCTGCTTGTCCCGCTGCTGAACCTCATGCGCACCACGTCTGCAAAACCGCTCGCCAACAGGGCGTGCGAAGTTATCCTTGCTTACCAAAAGGGCCTCCGGAAAGCGAGGGCCGGCAAGGAGAATAGCGACGACATCCTCAGAGGGGATATGCTGGGTCTGTTGGTGCAAATACACGAGGAGGCAGGCAAGGACAATTCCCACGCGTACGCCAAGGCCGCCAGTGCTGCTAGCTTGATTGTGGCCTCGAGCATGTTTGCGGGCGATAGGGCGGCGATTCGGGAGGTGGCGGGCGTGTATGCCAAGACGCAGAGTGATTGGGTCTTGGGGGACGTCACGATGCAGAACTCGTTTTTTGCTGATTGGAATAATTGGTGTCAGAACCATGCTTCGCAGAGTCGGGCGTGATGTGGATTTGGTTGCTCAAGTCGTGTACATAGATTCGTAGTTTGGGGCTCATGGAAACAAGGGAGTTACAAGGGAGATAAAAACAGATTATGAGGTAGCGTCACACATTTTTGCCCGCTGCCTAGTCGAGGTGAAAAGTTAGATAGGTTTGTGATAAAAACTCAGGCTCACATCTTTGCTAGTGTGATGGAACCCCCTCCCTCCCCCCAAAAAGGTTCATTGCTTATTGTTGTTCATTTCCCAACCATATAAAGCATTATTCTATGAACCTGCCGTGTGATAGTACAAGTGCTTTCGCCGCGTGCGCAACTAAATCCCCTTGCTGCTTTGCGACCCCTCTCTATTCCTCCATCTTATCATCGTCTTTCTTATCGTTCTCGTCGTCGTCGTCTGAGTCATCCTCTGCCTTTGCTAATCTCTCAGCTTCCTCCCGCAACTCCTTGGGCACCTCGACATGACGACCCTTGGTCGGACCGTCCACACCACTGATCCAAGTCATTTCCAGTTCAAAATCCTTGTCCTTGTTGTCCTTTTGTGCAATATAGATGATTCTCGCAGCCTCCTTGACGGCCTCCTCCATGGTCATATTGCCTGACTGCAGATCCAACTTCTCCAGCTCAGCCTTAGCCGCCTGACGACCCTTGCCCGTAGCAGCACCATAGTAGCCCCAGTACAGACCACTGGGCTCAATCATGTACAGGAAGGGGCCGCCGTGCTTGCCAGGGACCTTGCCGCCAGCACCACACTTGGGGCCAGAGCCAACTTCTCCGTCGACGGGTGTCTCTTCGGATGTGTCTACGCCGCCGACAATGGCGGTTATGCCGAATGGCCGGACGGAGCCGTACATGGTGTATGCCTGGAGATAGCCGCCCATCCTCGAGGCAAGATCGGCCGTGGGGATCGGGGTCTTGAAGTTTTGGCGCCAGCTTTGGGACTCGTCGCGGGCACGGTCGACAAAGTGTCGGCCGTCGGGGACCATTCCTGAGTAGACCTGGGTGCACAGATTAGCTTCAGCCCCGAAGACACGACACGTCTGGTATAAAAATGAGTCTGCTCTAGTAATGACTTGCAGGGTCACGTACAACACCAATGTGGCTGTCGACGGTAGCAATTCGCTTGTTTGCGCCGGGCTTTAGCAGCTTTGATGTCACCACCTTCTCGACAGCTAGGACGACGCCGTCCTTGCACCGAATGCCGATTGAGGTGCCGCCACTCTCTACTGCTTTAACTGCATATTCCACCTGAAAGTTGCGGCCATCTGGCGAAAAGATGGAGTTGAGAAGATCGTAGCCCGTTCCTATCGATGTCTGGACGTTGAGGGTTGGTTAGCTAGCTTCCTTCACGGGCAGGGCATGCAAGCAGTGACTGCAAAATGCTAACCATCTTGATATTTTGGTCTCCGTAAAACCTGTCCGAGAGATGGTATCGTCAGGTAGAGAGGTTTGTTGTGTGAATGGCTGGGGGGATTATGAGGAGTTGAGATGACAGATATGGGCCTGAAGCTCCTCCAACCGGCAAGCATCACCAGGCAGCCTGAGAGCTGCGTATTGCAGTTTGCTGGCGCGAGGCTGGCGTGCAGTTTATGCCTGAGGCGCCAAACTCTGGGGAGGTGTCAGCCACAGATGAGGTCGAGCTGAATGTGGCTGATGCGGACATGGCACACATCTCACGCATCCACATCGGATCCGGAGTTCGGGGAGCCACTGTTCGTTTGGATAGAAAGAATGACCCTGCAGTACGGAGTGCGGAGTACGAAAGTAAATGGAAGGACGTTGAAGCTTTACATGTACAGGTACGAAGGAACTGCCTACGAGGTACTAGGTACTGAGTACCTAGGTACCTAAGCTAATAGCCAGTCGGCAGCGATTTTGGGAGCAACGTCATGCTGAGGATCAAATGCGCACCGTTTCATTGATGTGACGCTTACAGCATGAAACGCATCTTGGATATGGCCGTCATGAAGCATCATCATTCGTGACTGATCGCATCAATCCAGACACCTGAAATCTAGCACAAGGAGTCCCAAAATACACCGGACCCTGGCGTGGTACACAGGCAGTTCACCAGGGCTTCACTTTGGAATATTGGAGGAACTCAAGTAGACAGAAGTTCATTCCGGCCATCAAGTAATTGATGAGAAGCTGCAGCCAGAATTCTGCACAGACTGGGGCAGGTGGAAATAGTGGCACTCGGATGCCGGCGGTCCAAGTCATCTGTACTCGGTACATCCGCGTGGCAGCTGATACACAAAATCTACATCAAGCGTCGGAAGTCAAGCGCTCTCATCTCTGTTCCATTCCTCAACAATCAAGGTCCAGTGGCGAGAAAGGGAATGGCCCCGTGACGAATTCGAGTCGATGACGGTTGGAGCCAAATGGAAGGCGTCTGTTGAATGTTGCCTGGCGTCTCGAATTGCCCCTCCACACCCCGCTAGGCGCCCGCCAACCACCTGCTATCGCATGAGTGATGCTCCCTGTAACGTTCCCTGGTCTGCCTGCAGGTCCGGCGCCTGCAAGCTTCTCAACCAAGTCTATCGGCCTTCCACGGAAAGGATGATGACGCTCTGTTCTCTTTTCTTTATAAAACGTTGTGTCTGCCATGAATCGGCTTTGACATGTCCTCTTCACCATCCATCGCGAAGCACGTATCTCCGAACACCAATATTGTCTCGTTGCTTAGTTCCGCCTTTCTCTGTTCCTCCAAGCCCAAAGTCCATCCTCCCCCCCGCCTCTGGACCCTGGTTCGCTGTTCCGGTCCACTGTCCCGCCTAAAATCGAAAAAAAAAGTCCACCGCTCTTGTGCTAAATCCTGCCTGAGACAGGAGGAGACAGGAGACAGGAGACAGGAGTTAGGGGACGAGAACCAGGAGACTTAAGGCTGCACCTGCTCACTTTCTCCTCCAACTCTTGTCAACATTCGCAATCTTCACGCTCCTGTTCGTTTTTACCTTTTACCTTTCATCACCTTAGCGTAGCCAAAATATACCTCTGATTTTGCCTCGTCTCTCTTGCCAGCTGGCCGCCCCAACAGATCCGAGTACTGTCAGCTTGGCCCTTCTGTCTTGATACCCAACCGCATATCGACCCAACCAGGGCCTCGTTTGAGAAAATAAAAGACTCACTTGACAGGAAATAAAAGGATCCGTGGACTGGAAGGCTTGCGACGAATACTGACCTCAAACTTACGATACAGAGATACTTCAAAAAGAAACTACCGTCTTTGCCGTCCATCGCTGACTGCATTACAAATTCGCCAACAGCCGAGGTATGTGGCCTCTCCGCCTGCGTGTAAGCGGGAGGCGTGATTGCTTGATACTGATTCGCTTCCAGATCATGGTTTCTGTTCAACCCGGCATGCAGGCAAATGCCCAACAGGTTCAGGATGACCTTGCCAATCTCTTCTCTCGTAACCTGACATTCAACCCCGACTTTCACGTCTCTGCCCAAAAAGAGACAGCACGACAGGAGCCGACCCCCGCGGCTCCAGTCTCCCAACCCGTCGTGTATTCGATTTCACAACACTATCATCACTCTGCCCACACTGCGAAGTCTGCCGCTCAACTATCTGAGAATCAAGGACAATGCCGACCCCAGAGGCCGTCATCGGAGCCGCCTCAGAGCGAGATATCCACGACGGAGATGATTCTGCGCGGCTACGGCGTAGACCCCGCCGTCTTGACACCATCCCAAGTTCAACTCTTCCGTGTTGCCGATGATCCGCAGAAACTTCGCCTGATCGAGCTTTGGAGCATTTGCCCTCCCAACAGGGCCGAAGATATTCCTTCCCTTGCCTGGAGCAGCACGACCCTGGGCCAAGAAGAGCACCTTGCACAAATGCGATATGAGAGGCAACATAACTCCACCATGAGCCTGGACGGGACCCTTGTCCAAACAGATGACGGCAAGTGGACTCAACAAGTCTCGGCCGAGAGTGAGCCATACATGATTTCCGGGTATGAAGAACTCATGCGACGAGAGTATGAACGTCAGTCCATTGACACCACTGCCAGAGATGTTTACAACCACTATGGCACTGCCGTGGGCAGCAACAGATATTCTAGGTCTACTGACCCTGTTTACAAAGGGCCCGACTATGACCAGCAACAACAGCAGCTGGGGATGGCTGTTCAGTACGATTCTTTTGAGCAGTTTAGGAATGCGTCGATGCCGGTCGATGCCATGGATGTCATGTAACTATGCTTACTGGGGGCGATCTAATCATACACAATACTGCTCTCAGCCGTTAGATATGCATAGACAGGTAGTGTGGATTGTTGTTTGCCTTTGTTCCTGGGACAAATCAGAGTATGGACAGAAACAGACATGTACGCAGGAAGTTTGGTATCCGTGTCATGGACTTGGGGGTTTGGTTGCCATTATATACCAGGAGGGTTAATGTTTCTCTGGGTTGGGAGATACCTTGTTGTTTTTCTTCACTATTCATTTCCACTCTTTCATCTTCTCCCCATCCCTTGTTTCGGAAGTGTTGATGTGGTGGCTAACAAAACTCTTAGAGAACCTGGTTTCAACTACAGCCAGTATAGGTACGTGTTCGTGTCCTCTCCAAAGCCCCAAAGCCCCGATTGAGCGTATCCTGCTCCTACTTGCCATTTTCATTTAACTCTTATTGAAGTTTTGAAACGCGTTAGATTTTTTTATATTGTAGACCAAATATTGAATATACTTCAGTTATTGACCAGTGATTCTTCGATTGCAAACTCTAGCTGTTACTCAAGTTTTGTGCGTGACTGCGTGATTTACATGAGGTGATAAAGTGTGCGCTTTTGGCGGTATTTTTTGGTTGCGCATGGGCTGGTTGTGAACTGGTCTCGTAAACCTTGCGTCAATGCTCACAGACATAGTATTAAAGGGTAAAGGGGTATCGTATGTATTGCACGCTCTAACCCTATGTATAATCTTAAGTAAGTATATGCAAATAATCATCTAACGTCACGGGGCATAACAGCATTCCAATTTAAATTTCGGCCTTCTCCAGCTTCTTAGCAAGAGCCTCGACCTCCTTGTCCTTGAGCTGGACGACAGGCTCCTCCTTAGCCTCCTCGGCCTCCTTAAGTAGTTTCTCGGCACGCTCCTCAGCAGTGACGCCCTCCTCCTCCTCCTCCTCCTCCTCCTCCTCACTGAGCTCTTCAAGATCGCTCAGGCTGTCAACACCCCATTCGTCCTCATTGATGACATCTCCTGCAAGCTTCTCCTTACGCTGGTCAAGAAGCTCCTGCAGAAAGAGGATGGACTCGTCAGCCTCGTCAAACTTGTTTCCATTCAATTCTATGCGCTTCAGGGCCGGGAGCGCGTCCTTGGCTGCGGCAGCAAAGGCCTTGATGCCAGTCGCGGTGATATCATTGTACTGCAGACGCAAAATTTCGACTTTCCGGTTTTTGCCCTTAGCCAAAGCCTTCGCAAACAGGACACCGCCCTTGGCGCTCAAAAGTGAATCGCCAATACCTAGTTCGCGAACGACAGTCCAATTTGTGACGACGTTGGCGAGGGCTTTGGCGCCCGTGAGGGTGAAAGTGTTGTCCTGGAGGTCCAAGATCTGCAGTTCGGTGGCGTGAACCAGGCCTTCGCTGATGAGATGAGAGATTCCCTCTTGTCTAATACCGTTCTGAACCATCTTGATATGCTGGATTTTGTTGTGGAGTCTATACGCCTTGGCCCAGGCGGTCATGCTGCCGTTCTCCAGTCGGTTGCGGCCGCAAATGACTGTCTCCAAGTCGGGAACCTGCTTGCCCTCCTTGCGAGCGGCTTCCTTCTTGGCATGAAGTTCTGACAGAGCATCGGCAACGAGGATACCGGCGTGGGGGCCGAGGCCGTTGTTGTTAAGGTACAGGTGCTGCAGCGGCACGTGGGCGGAGAGGAAAGCGACGAGGGGGGCTTGTGTGTTGAGGCCAAATGCGTTATCGTTCAAGTTGACGGTGTGGAGATTTGGGTGGTTGAGGATGGAAGTTAGCAGCGAAGAGAGCGCCTCGGGGATTTCGCTCAGCAGTCTGCCTGTGAAGATGTCGGCGAAGTTTGCAATCTTGATGAGATAAGCGTTAGTTTTAGGAATTTATCTATTCTTCGTGAATTTCAGATAGTTTGATGGACTGGAAAACATACCTTCAAGTTTTTCTTGGTAGCCAAAACTTCTCCGATAACCTTGCAAGCTTCGACACCCAGGGTGTTGCCAAGCAACCTGACCTCCTCAACATCGTTGGCTCGAAGATCTTTGATATGAGGCTCGACATCCGCGGCGCTGTCGAGCTTGAGGCCCTTGCCTTCAATGGTAAATAGCTTGGAGGAGACAGTCATCTTGTATGAATACGCTCAAAATAATATAAATCAGAGTCAGTTGCAAGTGGGTAAAAGAAAGACCGCGGCTTGCGTGAGAGTATGTATGGATGACGATGGTTGCTTTTGTCACACCCAGCAAATGAATTATATAGTGGGGGCGGGGCAACGGAAAGAATGCAGTCAGGTTGGCACGTTGGGTATTCAGGCGCAGGGGTTTGCGAGTGCGTGGCCGCCAGGGGCGTCAGTGGCAGTGAGTGTGCCAAGGTACCTATCCATCAAAAGTGGCGAATCTGGATGCTTCTTACTTAGGTAAGCGAGTTGTGGCCTGACCACCTGGGCAGTCACCAAGGATAGAGCTTCACGTGACTTTAGCCAATCAGCGTCGGCCCATTTCGGAACGCTGGATTTTCTCAATGGGTATGACCTCTCCTGCTGAGCCTTTTCGAACCTCCGACCCTCGAAATCGATACGACCATCGCCGTCACATCCTCACAACGGCTCCCTCCACGGATACGGTATAGCTTGCCAATTATGCTGGCAAGGTCTTGCTTGCGCTCGACGCGCACCCTCAATGGGCTCCGAAATGGCGTCAACAATGTGTCCAAGGTACGACGGCTCTGCTCACATTCGGACTCGCCTGCCTCCCCGTTTTCGTGGTTTGCCGAGGGAATCGACCACCACCCGCCCCAAGGGACTGGGACCACATCAATCGAATTGTAATGCACCTTGGATCAAGAATACATTGCTAATTGTATTTTTGTCTTTTAGCGCGCTGCCTCGACGAGTTCGGGTGCTGCCGGGGAAGCTTCCCCTGCGCGATTGAACTTCGCTGCTATCGCCTCAACCACCGTCGCTGCCGGCTCCATTGCCTGGTACTACCACCTCTATGGACCTGTGGCCTTTGCCGCCAGCCCTGCTGAGGAAGGGTACGTTTTTCCCCCGGGAATTTATGAATTGGAGCTCTTGTTACCATGTTGTTGGTGTCCTCTTCCACGTGCGGCATAAATTGCCGTGCTCGGCTATATGGGGCTCTCTTCTTCGACGACCAATTCACTAATTCATTTCAACAGTCTGCACCCTACTCAATATCCATGGGTCCATCAACAGTGGCTCAAGACTTTCGACCACCAGGCGTAAGTGTTTCTTGTTTGGCCGCTCTAGGAATCTGGACCCGGGCCTATGCTATTGATACTGCGTCATCCCGATACTGACCTTGGATATTAGTCTTCGCCGAGGTTTCCAGGTCTACAGGGAAGTCTGCGCCAGCTGTCACTCACTTAGCCGTATCCCCTACAGAACATTGGTTGGCGCTGTCTTGACTGTCGACGAGGCCAAGGCTCTTGCTGAGGAGAACGAGTACCCTGGTGAGCCAGACGAGCAGGGCGAGATCCAGATGCGACCTGGAAAGCTGGCCGACTACATTCCCGACCCTTACAAGAATGAGGAGGCTGCCCGATTTGCCAACAACGGCGCCCTTCCTCCGGATCTGAGCTTGATCGTCAAGGGTCGCCACGGTGGCTGCGACTACATTTTCAGCTTGTTGACTGGCTACCCTGAAGAGCCTCCTGCCGGTGCTCAGGTCGCCCCTGGCATGAACTTCAACCCTTATTTCCCCGGAACTGGTATTGGTATGGCTCGCGTTCTTTATGATGGCCTCGTCGAGTACGAAGACGGCACCCCTGCCTCTACCTCTCAGATGGCCAAGGACGTTGTTGAGTTCCTCAACTGGGCTGCCGAACCCGAAATGGACGACCGCAAGAAGATGGGCTTGAAGGTGTTGATCGTCACATCGGCTTTGTGGGCCATCAGCGTCTGGGTTAAGCGGTACAAGTGGGCATGGCTGAAGTCGAGAAAGATTGCCTACGACCCTCCTGCGGACTTGAAGGTTCGCCGCTAAGTGATGAGGCAAAGTTGTGCGTTATGTGTATACTAGTCTCCCCCCCTTAGAGATGCTCCTTTGTTGGCGGAGGCGGGTAGAATGGGAAGACGGTGGTTTAAAATCAGGGAAGGTGGATGGTAGAGTGTAAATCAGATGAACCAAATTTCAATACCTTTACTTTTGTCGTAGTAATGCACAATTTGCTCTCGCAGCTTACATGTGATTTATTCGAGGTGTGCCAACGATTAATACGGCAGTGCATTTGGCCACGGTACTTCGATGGAAAGAAGCCATTCATTGTCCTTATAGGCACAGGACATGTTTCCAAGCTGTGGTCATATTGTAGGCGCCCGGGCTCTTTGTTTTGGTTTTATCTGATTGACTTAAAAATGAATACGGTGCGGTCGCCTGCAATGTATGGACCTCAGACCCGCTAGCAGCCGGCTTCCATTGACCCATTGCGGGAGGGCACCAGACTGGCTAGGCCTCTCTCTGGGCGGTTCTCTTCCCACTGCAGCCCCGTAAGAACCCGCTGTAATAGGACTGAATGGGCCTGGCAGATGCCTTTTGGCCTTTCAGCTGACAGGACGCTTGGCAAATGAAATGCCTGCAGCCTGCCTGCCTAGGTAGATACATCCCTGCAGAGCCTTGATTCTCCATAGGCCTTCTCTCTGGTCGTCAACTGTCACCAGAAGAAACATCTCCCCAACCTCCCACCTGCCTCCAGCATCCGACACCGAATACCTCACTGTTACAGATGCTTACTACCTACCAACCTATGAAGCCTGTTCCATACACCGTCTAGCATCTCGTTAGCTCACGCCACCATACGCATCACCCTGCCTCTAGCTCGGCGTGAAGATGCCGTATGTCGGCGACGGCGATGATTTCCAGCCAGCACGTAAACGACGATGGGAGGGTGACCACGACAGCAATGTCTACCGGCTCTACAACGCAGAAAAACAACAACCAGACTTCTACCTATTGAACCGCGCGTCAGACTTTTCTGCCGCCCGCAAAATCCTCCCGCTCTCCTCGAAAAGGGCTCGCATCACCCACGAAGACGATTCTCTCCATCCCGACAGCCCTAGTAGCTTCGTACAAACGCAATGGCGGCGACTATCGCAGCAGAAAGTGTTCCAGGACCAGCCGGGTCTTGGAAATCGAGTTTCTGTGGCACCCAGTGCAGCACTCCTAGCCCCCTGCTACATATGCCACCGGAGACCGACGAAGAAATCCGACCTCGACTCGTTCGCAGAGTGTCAGGGTTGCGGGGAGAGGGCGTGCTTCGTGTGCATCAGAGAGTGCCACGGATGGAATGCAGACAATGACATGTCTGTGCTTTCGGAGCAGGAGGTGCTTTCGCGATCATTTCACATGGACGACGCGGACGACATGGAGTCTGAGCCACGAGACGGTCATCATGGCCACTCAGGGGATAGAAACAGCAATACACGGCAGCTTTATGGGCACTTCCAGAATGCAGGAAAAGATTCTAAAGGATGGGCGGCGTCGGGACACCGCTCCGTCGTGTGCAGCAGGTGCTGCGTGGAGAGGGGCCGCGAAGGAGAAGTAGTTTGCTTGGGATGTTTGTCTGGCATGCCCGGCGCTTGAAATTTACCAGTGACAGACGATCAAGGTTGGCTCTAACATTCTCTTGAAGTAATTGGGTGCAGAGTTACAGCCTCCATTTCACATCCGATTACATTCACGAATACATCATTTTGCTGGAGGGAATTCTGTGGATAGCGGTGGCTTGGGATTTCAGTCATGGGGTAATGTTGCCTTTAGTATGGATTTAGCGCGATAGGTACCTGAATCTATGTAAATATTTTACATGCGCAGTAGATAGTGCACAGACCATAGCGTCTGTGTAAACCGTAGATAGCATTTTCCTATAGGACTGACCTATACTGGATGTGACTTAATGTATATCCGTATTTATCGTGGATGGTTTGCACTATTCACCGTTTTTTAGACGATACCTGACATGACGTGGTGCCACCGTGAACGCCGGCTTCTATTAAACTTCTGCTAGAGGCATCAACAAGGTATCTAGAAGCGCAACCTTCCGTGTCATCTCCCATAGTCATACACCAAGGTTTCTAGTTTAAAGAAATACAAAAGATTCACCCGCTCTAGTTGTATTGCATGTAGGTAGCGGTCGAGTTGAACTTGAGGTTGCCCTTGATGACCTTGTCAACAGCACTCAAGAAGTCCTTCTCTGAAGCGACTTTTCTCCTTGCTCGGATAGCAAACATACCCGCCTCGGTGCACACACTCCTCAATTCTGCACCAGTAGCATTGGGACAGAGCCGAGAAATGAGCTCCCATCGGATATCTCTCTCCACGGACATACTCTTGGCGTGGATTCGGAGAATGTTGGCTCGGCCTTCAAGATCCGGAAGTGAGAACTCAATCTTTCGGTCGATACGGCCAGGTCTCATCAGAGCGGGGTCCAGAGTAGACGGTCTGTTGGTGGCGAACATGACCTTGATGTTTCCACGAGCGTCGAAACCATCCAACTGAGTGATAAGTTCCAACATGGTTCTCTGTACCTCGTTGTCACCGCCGGCGCCGTCGTCGAACCGGGCACCACCGACAGCGTCGATTTCATCAAAAAAAATAATGCAGGCCTTTTTCGTTCTTGCCATCTCGAATAGCTCGCGGACCATTCGTGCACCTTCACCGACGTATTTTTGGACCAGTTCGCTACCGATGACTCGGATGAATGTGGCATCTGTTCTGTTGGCGACGGCACGGGCACAGAGCGTTTTACCAGTACCGGGGGGGCCGTAGAGGAGGGCCCCCTTGGGAGGATCAATGCCCAGGTTGACAAATCGCTCTGGAGACAACAGAGGCATTTCAACAACTTCTCGCAGCTTCTCAACCTGTTCTTTGCAACCGCCAACATCGCCATATGTGACATCGGGCTTCTCTTCGACCGTCATCATGGTGACGCTTGCATCTATCTTTGGTGGTAGTGGCAGCATGATCTGATACTTGTTACGATCAACACCAACGCGCATACCCTCCTCGATATCTGTCGGGCTCACACGGTCTCCCAGCTGGACGACAAACTTGGCGATTTGCTTGACGTTAATAACGTACTTCTTCTTTGACTCGTCGCCTTTCTCGTCTTCGATAATCTTGGTACATCGTGCAACCTGGAACGGCTGCTCCTCGGACATTCGCTGACGGTCAGCGGCAACATCCCATAAATGCGGAGGGGCAAGACCAGTGTCGGACTCCTGCTTGATGTTAGATATGCGCAAGGCGGGGATTAGCGAGGGTGCCGGCTCGTACTTTGACCCCAATCTTCTCATCTACACTTTGTTGTTTGTCCTTGATCTGTTTCTCGAGCTTCTTGAGCGCTGCACCGTACGGCGCAGCGCCATAGGTCTTCAGAACTTGGATATCCCTGGCAAGCAGTCAGTTGGTAGGTCCCATGTCCCTTCATACTACCGGGCCGTTCGTACTCATCTGTCAGGGGAGTAATCTTTTTCTCTTCTATCTCGTCATCGGCAAACTTCTTCTGGTACTTCTCCCAGTTTTGACCGGTCGCGGAAGGCTAGTTAGAGTTAGCCACTGGTTGGCACAAGTAGCCTTAGAAAGTTACTTTGGGCAGCTTACCATGATGGAATCCGCCTGCAGGCGCGCGTTGCCGACGAGACGGTGTTAATTAAGAATGCGATCGGAGAGTAGTCAAATAGGTGGGAACAGAGAGACAAGTGGTACGGACGGCTCTGATGCGCTGGTAGATGCAAGCTTGATAGAAGGGAAGGCTGTCGAGAGTGTCGTTGGCAATGGCGATGCTGAGGGCAACACTCTGTAGAGGCATTCCGTAATCAGAGTAGGTTGCCTTGAGCTCCGTGCACGGACCCCATTGGAAGACAGGTAGCGCTAAACCATCTTGGGTCGCCACAGCATTTCCTGCCAAGCTGCACAATGTATATCGGAGCATGGATAATCTGTGGCCCGACACCAAAATTTCTGGAGACGGCCCATGGCGGAGTGGGAGTAGGGCAGAAGGTGGCAGGCCAGGCTGCCAACATCCCGCCATTCGACGATTCTGCAACACCTCAACGCAAACTACAGAATCAAAGAAACTCGGGTAGCTCAACTTCATCGCCACCATGTCAGCACCCGCGGTTTCTGCTGGGCAGTCTCAGAATGCCACTTTTAGAGTACGAGGAGCTCGCTGAGGTTCCCTAAGCTGTGAACCCCCCCGCTAACAAGCTCTCAGGACAAGGAGAAGCCTATGGCTGTGCGGTCGTCCAACATTGTCGCCGCCAGAGGTGCGAACAACTTCAGCCGAGCCTAGGACCTGAGTTTGCTAACATGTATACAGCTGTTGCTGATGCTATTCGAACATCCCTCGGCCCTCGAGGCATGGACAAGATGATTCGAAGCGGAAAGGGCGAGACAATCATTACAAACGATGGACACACTATGCTGAAAAGTATGTCGGTTATGCACCCTACCGCCAAGATGCTGGTGAATCTCGCTGGTGCTCAAGATGTCGAAGCTGGCGACGGCACAACCTCTGTCGTTGTCATCTGCGGTAGCTTGCTTGGTGCTGCAGACCGACTCCTGTCAAAGGGCATCCATCCCTCGGTCATCTCAGAGTCCTTCCAGCGGGCATCAGCTGCCGCCGTGGAAGTACTTCACGATATGTCCCAACCGATTACCCTTAGCGATACCTCTGCTCTCCTGCAGGCTGCCAACACCTCACTGTCATCCAAGATTGTTTCACAATACTCGAACCTGCTTGGTCCGATGGCTGTTAACGCCGTGACAAAGGTGATCGATGTCAAGACAGCCGATAACGTTGATTTGAGAAACATTCGAATTGTCAAGAAGGTTGGAGGCACTATTGAGGATAGCGAGCTTGTTCCTGGCCTGGTCCTGAACCAGCCAGTTCTAAAGAACGCCGGCGGCCCCATCAGAATGGAGAAGGCACGCATCGGCCTCATCCAGTTCCAGCTCAGCCCGCCCAAGCCAGACGTAAGCTCTAATTTCTGGAGACGAAAACGCTGACATATATATATACTTACTTTGGTTGCAGATGGAAAACACGATTCAGGTCAACGACTACAGACAAATGGATAAGATTGTCAAGGAGGAGCGTCTGTACCTTCTTAATATGGCCAAGAAGATAAAAAAGGCCAAGTGCAACGTTCTTCTTATCCAGAAATCGATTCTGCGCGATGCTGTCAACGACTTGTCACTGCATTTCCTGGCCAAGCTGGGAATTCTTGCCATCAAGGATATTGAGCGAGACGAAGTGGAATTCATCTGTAAATCAACTGGTTGCAAGCCTATCGCGGACATTGATTCTTTCACTGAGGATAAGTTGGGATATGCTGAATTAGTTGAGGAAGCGGAATCGTCAGGCTCGCGCATGGTCAAGGTCACCGGTGCCAAGGCTACCGGCAAGACTGTCTCCGTTGTCGTCAGAGGAGCCAACTCGTTGATTTTGGAGGAGGCGGAGCGAAGTTTGCACGATGCTCTCTGCGTTATGCGCTGCTTGGTCAAGAAGAAGGCCCTCATCGCTGGTGGAGGTGCTGCCGAGATTGAGATTGCCGCACAGCTGTCCAAGCAGGCTCGTAGCTTGACGGGCACTGAGGCCATCTGCTGGAAGGCATTTGCCGATGCTATGGAGGTTGTCCCTACTACCCTGGCTGAGAATGCTGGGCTGAACAGCATCAAGGTTGTCACGGACTTGAGACACCGACATGAGATGGGAGAGAAGAATGCTGGAGTTAGCATCAAGTCCGGCGGTGTCAACACAAACATCTCCAAGGAGAATGTCTTGCAGCCGCTGCTAGTGAGTACGAGTGCTATCGAGCTAGCTGCTGAGACGGTGAAGATGATTCTGAGAATAGACGACATTGCCTTGACGCGATAAGGCGGAGACTTGAGCAGGTTGATGTATGATAATATCTACCACAAAAAAGGGAATAGACGAAAAATTGGGGACTAAGTGATACCAGATGAATTGAATTGCCCCCTCGGTCGCTGCCTTTCTGCGGTAATGTGGAGTAGACGGATGTGATGCTTTCAAGTACGGCAGCAGCACCAGGTCGTTCCTTCCTGTTTGGTGCCTGACAGCCAGCAATCCAAAACCAGGCCCTGGTGTCTTGACCTTGTTTCCACGGAATTCCTCTTCTACAACTTGCACAGGATTTCCTATTCGACGTTGCGCGAAATCTGGACCTACGGCTCTTCTAGACCAATCCTTGGGAACGCTCACTTGTGAGCGCGTTGACGGCTGCCCGCCATGCCTCGACGAAACACTCGGAACCAATCTGGAGATGATTCTGATCCCAGTATCATTGCCATGAAAACTCCACAGCGTATCTACCAGGTAGATTTGTTGCCCGCAGATAACTTTCGATGACGACTGTGCTGATGTGTGTTACTCGCAGCTAAAACAGGAGCGAGACGAGCGGGCCAGAGCAATTATGGCCGAAGCAGAGAAGGCACTGGCATCTGTGAAAAAGCGAGCTGTGACATATCAGGAGGAAAAACGCCGAAAGAGGTAGTACTCGTCACCACTTGGGCTGGATTTTTTTTTTTCCTTTTTTTTTTTTGCAACTAATGACTGCCTAGCGCAACCAAACTCGCGCAGCAACTAAAGAAGGTCATTAAGCTTGTCGAGAAGAGAAAACAAATTGAGAACAAGATGCTCGAAGTTGTGGCGGATGTACATACTTCAATGCAAGAGGTTGAAGAGATGATGCTGGCAGGGTACAAGGGGAGACACAAGGAGGCGAAACAGGCTTTGAATGCTCTCAGTGCCAAGGTCCACCAGCGCAAGGAATGAATGACGCTCGGGGGATATCGTTTTATCAATTTTGCGAGCATTTACTCGATATTGAAGTCTACTGGTAGCATATCCAAAGGGACGAGGGTGCAAGGCAGTCACAGACACATAGCAAATCCCAGACGTGTCAGATATAATAATCAAACATTGTCGTTTGTCTAAAGAGGAGGGGGTATCCAATGCCTTGTATTTTTTTCCCATACACCGTCCAATGCACAAATAGTATACACGGGCGCTTGATGGCCGGATAATCGAGACGGAGAAGAGCAACGTCGTCTGCGATTACACCTTGTATCCGAAGCCAAGCATACAGGTCTTGTACTGCTCGACAAAGGATTTGCAATCGGCGGCGGGATCGGATGCCTTTGAGAATAACATGCACTCGTCTCGCTTGGACTTTTCCTCTTTGCACACGCAGCATGGCTGTGAATTAGGCGTCAGTTCATATCTATTGCAATCGGATTGACCAAGCTGGACAAGCAAGGATGCGGACCGACCTTGGGTTTCTGGGTGTTGTCGGATGCAGCGGCGGGCGCGGATTCCGCCGACGAGGCTGTTCGGAGAGTAAGTATTGGATGGAGTATAGAGATGACAATTTGCGTACGAAAGGAAATGGACTTGGCGTCCATGATGTTGTATTATAATGCGGTGGTGGAAGAGTAAGCGAAAATTTGACGTTGACTTGTTGTAGTATTTTTTTTTTTTTAATTTGCCGTTGCCGGTGACGGAGGGTGCGACAGTTCTGGATGTCAAGTTTGGCGTTGGTAGAACAAAGTAGTTACGTAGTAGTTACAATAAGTTAGGTGGTGTATTTCTAAGCTTGGCGTGGCCAATCATGAGACTAGAAATTTGCGCAGGTACACCAGACATGTACCGCTTGCTGCTGGTCGGCAATCGGCAAGTTAAATTGCTGAAGATTGAATCCATACGGGAAGAGTGAAGCTATCTATGCCTTGCGAAAATGAGATTGCAGCTTTTGGTCATTCCGCTTGGTCGCCTTGGGATGTAGACAGTGTCGCGAATGGTTATTTGCATGCAGTTCAAACATGCAGTCTGCCGTGTCTGGTGACAGAAGCAAGCGAATCTGGATATCGACACGCAGATATGCGATGGGAGGAGAGGCGTCAATGACGGACAGCCGGAGTCATGGTTGATGCCTACCTGAGTACCTAGGTAGGTATGCGGCTACTGCTGCCTGCCACCAATCAATCGAGCGAGAGGCGCCGAGTCAAACTTGACCCTTGAATTGCATGTCAACGGAACCCGGCATCTAGATGGACGCAAGTCCGGCTGCCGCACCCGTTGAAAAGGGCGCCGTCGGGGGCGAACCGAGTAGCTCCATGCCCGAAGGCTCGACATGTGCTGCAACACGCGGCTCCAGGGGAAGAGAAAAGTGGCGTCGTCAACGAATGTGACTCAGATCACTTACTCACTCACCCCCATCCTACGCGCCGTTGAGCTTCTTACGTGGCTGCTCAACTCGACTGGCCACAATCCCCCAGTGGCAAACTAATCTCAATTGTTGTGACGACGCCAACGGCCCCCAAGCGGGCTGGAGGTATTCAAGAGCCTGAAGATCGGGGGTCCGGAGATGGCGTTGCATCCGACATCTGGACTGACACCAGGCAGGCCGCGTGTGGACGCGCGGCGACGGACTTGCCTGCTGCCAATCGACAATGTGACAACCCAATATCGTCGCAAGTGCGTGACCGGCTCTGTAGGCATCTGCGTCGTTTCACAACCCCCAAGATGAAGCGGGCTGCGTTGGCCCTTGATTGCCTTGCCAGGCACTTACGTGGAGTTGTGCCTGGACCCAGGACGGTGGTGGCGGGCGTTGTAAGTGAACAAAGTATATAAGCATGTCATATCGCCCTGTAGATTTTGTTGTTTTCGGATCTCCTTGTCTCGTCAGAGAACCAGTCTCTTCAACTCATTGACAACCGTCCCTTTACACGCCTTAAAACACATAATCACTTGGCTCTTGGTAACAATGTCTCCCGATCAAGAACACAGCCAGCACCACCCCCCAAGCTTCTGGGACTTTATCCCGGGCTTTGTTCAGAACCGCCCAGGCAACGGTGTAGACCATCACAACCCTCAACCTGCTCCCCAATTCTCGGGCGGCTTCCCCTTTGGAGGGCCGTGGCATCACGGGCCGCCGCCTCCTCCTCCTCCTCCTCCTCCTCACCACCATCACGGCGGACCACCTCACTATCCTCCTCCTCCAGAAGTAGGAGGCCGTGGTCCCTGGGAAGCAGATTTTGACTGGAGCCAGTGGTATGGCCACGACCACGACCACGACCACGACCACGACCGCCACGGCCGACATTCCCGTCGCCACGGATGGTTGCCGTCGTCGGGGCCGCCCCCCCCGACACTGCGACCAAGGCAGCGACGAGGAAGCCCAGCGGCCCAGCGTCGAAAAGGAAGCCCCCGAAAAGGGAGAAAAGGGAGAGTCCCCCGAGACCATGGACGCGGACATGCCCGACCCCGAGGAAGTCGCCCCCGAAGACGGCGAGCACCCGCCTCCGCCCTACGGCGCCGGTCGTCGAGCCGGCCGATTCCACAGAGGAGGCCACGGCTGGCGACGCGGAGGCCGCGGTCACCACGGTGGCTGGGGCGGAGCACGACACTGCCCCCGAGGCAACTCGCTCGACTTTTCCTCCATGATGAGAGGCTTCATGGACCACCCGTTCTTCCAAAGCGTGCGCGACCAAGCGGAGCGCCACCGCAGCGGCAACGTCGACGACGCCCGGCACGACGCCGACGCCTTCCAGCCCCCCGTCGACGTCTTCAACGCCGAGTCGGCCTACGTCGTGCACGCCGCCCTGCCCGGCGCAAGGAAGGACGACATCGGCGTCAACTGGAGCCCCGACTCCAACACGCTCAGCATCGCGGGCGTCGTTCACCGCCCCGGCGACGAGGCTTTCCTGCGGGGCCTCGTCTCGGGCGAGAGGAGAGTGGGCGTGTTTGAGAGGAACATCACGCTGCCGCCGGCGGGCGTCGTCGACAAGGACAGCGTGGACGGCCTGGGCATCACGGCCAAGATGGAGGACGGGGTGCTGGTTGTGGTCGTGCCCAAGCTGGAGAGGGAGTGGACCGAGGTTCGCAAGGTTGATGTTGAGTGATTCTGAGGCGTCTGGGCTGTCCTGATTTTCGACTTGTTTGTTGTATACTGCCGTGGTTGTAATGGGTAGGGATTATGTCTTGACAAAGGAATCAAGGGAGAAGACAAGAAAAAAAAAAAAAGAAAGAAAAAAAGACCTTTAGAAATACGAAAAATGAAAAATATATACTGGCTTTGATATTCCTTGACTGTCATCTTGGAGCAACTTTTGATATGAGATACATGTGACATTAAATAATCCCCCCCTTTCACTCAACACTCCCATAGCCACGCACATGAACCAAAAACCAGTCCACTACGCTGCCTTCCAAAAGATTTCGTCGACCAGGGCACGCACTTGACGTACAAACACGTGAACAACAGCAAGAACGTTGTGATGGGTGAAATTTCAATTTCCAAACGGGATAAATATTCTGTCTACAAATGACGGAACAATGCTACTACATCGCCCTCGTCGTTGGAAGTCTTAGACAAAAAAGAAAAAAAAGAGAAATAAATAACGAGTACACGGCCCAATTTCATACTGTCGTGTATCCCATTCTCAAGAATAGAGTGTTTTCGCGCCTGAGCCTATGCTATGGGGGTATATGCTAGAAGATTAGGTTTAAACAATGGGGTATGCGAGGTCTTGCGCTGTGTGCATAGTATCATGCAAGTGCTTGTAGATGTGCCACAAAACAACCTGCCTTGCTTGCTTCGTGCCGAGTTACACATTGCATTGCAATGCAGTTTTGTTGCTCATGCTATGCTGGTGCTGTGCCGTATGCTGTGTTTTCTACCGCTCACCCACGAAGAAATAGATAAAAATAACAAACTTGCAGGCTGCGCGATGCGATGAATTCAGAGGCCCGAAAAGACAAAGAGGCAAAAAAAAAAAAAGAAAAACCAGAGAGAAATGTGCGGAACAGCTGTAGTGAAAAGGCGTGGCGTGAAAGGAGCATGGCTTTGCCATTAGGCCTCACTCCCCGGAATACAAAGGAGATTGCCCATGCAGACCCAAACAAATCCAAAACGACCGATAAAATAAGAAAAAACGTTTTAATATCAACTCCGGGTATGGTGGCATAAGTCATAATGCGCTGTTGGAACTCTTCTGCTGGATTCAAACAGAGGAAAGAGTCAAAGTGTTTCCTACACCAGCTCGCTGGCAATCTCCTCCCGCACATGCTTGCACCACTTGAGAATGGCGGTCTCAAATTCTTGCCATACTTCAGGCCCATTGTTGTAGACAATGCCCAGCACGTCAACCTTGAGCATCACCTCGAACCGGAGTTCAGCCGCTTTGACCCAATAGCGGAGATTGTCAGCACATCGGTATGGTTTCTGCGTGTCGGTATGGAAAGTAGGTATGGCACCAAAGCGCCTTCTAGACTTCTTTACAGCAGCGTTGTGCAGCTTGACAAGTCGCAGTCCGTTCTGCAAGCTGCGGAGAAATGGCGTTGGGCACTCAGATGCTTGGGATAGAGGTGTCCAGTCGGGAAGCGCTTCTCCTTCAGGATCCAATGACAGGAGAAATGCCTTCTCTCTCTCCACCTCTCGCCCAGTCCAGTCACCATCGAGCCATACCCAGCTCTTTCGTTCCGCTTGTTCAGCAGCCTCAATTTCCCGTTCCTTGTCTAGAATATGGAAGACACTCTCGACCCAGCCGACCATTGTCTTGATTTCATCGTCTCTCAAGCCGCCTTTGAAGTTTCTGGTGGCCATTTGCTTCAAGACTTCCATCACAGCCAAAAGGTCGGCCCGAATCTGCTTCTCAGATTTGATATAGTCTAGGCGATCCGGCATCTCGTGAGCAGTATAGTACATCTTGGCAGCTCGGATGGCCAATGTCACCACGTCGAGGATGTGCATGCCCTGCAGTTCATACCAGCCCTGCGTGTTCTCCTCGGGCATATTGGGCAACTGGGGCGCATCTGGAGTTTCTGGATATGATCCAGCTTTGCGGGCAAGCACTTCATCCAGGGCCTTTTGGGCATCTGTCAACGATGTTTCCAACTCCGCCTTCAACTCGTCTATCGTGGGAGGCTTGGGAATCGGGTCGTCCCTCTGATGATACGTGCTGACTGTTGGAGGAAGCATTCCCGGGTCCGACTCGGCAAAGCTATCCTCGAAGTCGTCCTCATCAGCATCCTCTGCAGGAGAGCCGACAGTGACGTTTGTTTCCATGCCAAGGCTTGAATGGTCCGGGTTGCTGCCCACTGAATCGTATGATGAGTCCACGTCTATGCCAAGAATCGTTGGGTTAGAGCTTGTGCTTTCGAGGACCGACAAGTCCAGAGTGGCACGCTGATTAGGCTTCTTGCGCGCGAGTTGACCACCCTTGCCGTCCAAGAGGCCGGTTCTGGCAAAATAATATTGCAAATGAGCGATACTGCCCAAGCACATGACGCTATCCCTAGATCTGGCACTGGCAGCAAAATCCGTCGCTTGTGGTCGTACATACCCTCTTCTTCGGCCCTTGCTATCCACACTGTGGGTTGACTGTCTGGAGATGTTGGAAACATCTGACAGCCGCGATGACCGGAAAGATCCAGAGGACTGGCGAGAAAAGAGCTCGCCACCCAGAGAATCAGGGGGGCTCAAATCAGTTGCTGAGGTATGCGACATGGACGAAGCTGTTGACACGCATCGAGACAGCTCGGGGCAGGCTCCAATAGCCAGTGTGGGAGAAGTCTCGGGAGACACGGAACGGTGGATCTGATGCTCATTGACGGTAGTCATTGTGGGAGCCCAAGCGTCGCGTCGTTGTCGTCCTGGTCGAGGTGGGACTGGGAGGACGGGGATGAAGAATTGGACCGCTGGCAGCCTTGACGTTGGTGTAGTGCGTAAACAGTCTGAAGCTCAGGATGCGGCTCGACCAAGCGGCGCAAGGAGCTCCAGGCAGCCGTCGAAACCAGGCGCTCGTGGTGCTGCACCGGACGGTTTAACGGGTGGCTGCGTCCTCAACCTGCGCCGGGAAAGCGAACAGTAGGGCAGGAAGGTGAAGATGACCGAAGACCCGAGAAAGGCCAGCGTGGATGGTTGTGGTCAGGGGTTCCGCGGTCCAGGGCCGGCCGATTGCAAGCGTGATGAAGACGTGTGGTGGTTGGCTGATGAACGTTTAGACTCTGGAGCTCGAAATTGCGTCCCGGCAGCGTCTGCCTTCCCCAGATTCGCCAATGTCGGCCGCGGTAATGTTGCCAGCACCAATCGCGGCGGACCAGGGTGACAAGGGCCGGTTACAGCTACAGTTACAGTTGATGTTTTGCTGGTGATGAAATCAATTGATGGCGTTGACTTTTGCGCGGTGCGCCCTCTGCCAAGATGCGTATGAGGCCGGGATCCGGGATGCTGTATTATGCAGAAAGGGAGACGCACGCAGACAAGACTTTTTTTTTTTTTTCTGCCTTCAAGTTAGTCTGCCCTCGCGGAATAATAACCCGCGCCCAAATCGCTTGCTTGACCCGGTTCGCGACCGCTCGTTCTTTCTCGTCGACTGCACAGGGGAAGAAGTAACATAGATGGCAGGCGTTACCTGACCATGTCTCCGGTACGGAGTCGTACTACTTAAATGCGCCCGGCAGGTTGCTCTCGGCACGACCCAATGTCCATTATTAAATCACACATCACACGCTGCTGCCCACCATGCCTACCCTGCTCAACTTGGTCTGTTGCTGTTGTGCTGTCTGTGTGTCAACGGCGTCATATCCCGGGGCAACCTGAAGGGGCCAGCACTGCAAGCCATGGCTATCAATGCCATTGACACACTTGACACATCACAACGGTCGCGGTTGGAATGCCACTTGAATCTTGCGGGGACAGATGGGTGGAGCGGAGCTGGGAGCCGACGACGACGACTAATTGTGCAAACACCGATCGAGCCGTTCGACAACAGTGTTGTCGTGACATGGAGTGGACTTGATGTTGTCGACGGAGGCCAACGCCAGGCATCTCGGTAGTCATGTCCAAGTAGTTCTGACCAACGTGCATCTTCCGCATCTGCAGCCTGGCGCAGGGACAGATGACGTGCATATCGAATGGCTTCTTTTGCCAGAAAGCTGCCCCTTTCAGCCGCAGCTCCCCAAGGTGCCAGATCAGATGATACGTAGCTTCCTGGTGAGACAATGGCCAAGTGCTTCGTAAAGGGGTGCAATCAGTTGTGAGGCATGAAACATTGTCCTGCTATTGAGAGCATTGCTTCCGGTGTCGCTGGGCTGCTTGCTGGAGCCGAGCTCTCATTTACTCCCTACTCTGTCCATCATATTCCGGGCTGAGTACGGAGTACAGGCGCAGAAGATGTGCTCCATGGAGTGCTTATTAATAAAACAAGTACAATAGGCGCCGCCAAGGGACCTGATCCATCAGAAGCACCTCAGCGGTACGGAGCGAGTGAGTAGCATGTCTGTAATAATGTTGCAAACTGCAGCTTGATACAAGTGTTCCCGACTAACCGTGCGCTGCCTTGGCCTCGAGCAGTCGAAGTCGAGATATTCCTGTGTTTCTCGCGTCTCCCCATTTTGAAACCGAAGGGTTCACCGTGATAAGCTCTGTCATTTACGTACCAGACAATTCCCGTGGAGAGTCTGGGGGTGAAGAGTAAAAGCCCACCTCATTTCACAAGGATGTGGGTAATTAAAGACAAGACACAATTGTCACTCTGGTGCATCAGTCTTCTGTTGACCTTGTTATTATTAAAATATTGCACCGAGCAAGTCGATGCCAGGCGAATGTCGCCATTCAGTCGATCCCTTTGAATGTGCGAAGGTGCGTTTGCTGCATCGGCCCCATTTTTCTGCAGTACCGTGCAGATAGATACCTTTTCAGTAACAAAGTCAAGCTGGTATTATATCCTTTAGTGATAAGTAAAAGGTAGTGTTTTATATATGTAAAGTTATTAACACTTTTATTATCATGTAATTTCTTAGTAAAATTAAGTATACTTAAATATAAGCTCTCTTATTAGGTGACATCCTGGTGTATACAGCAAACGCACCTTTGCACATTCAAAGGGATAATGCCTCAAAGTACGGAGTACTCGGTAGGCACTTGCTCCTACGCTCACTTGCATATCCCTGGTTCCATGTGGCGTCAATCAACTGGCCTATTACCTACCAGGTCTAGCAGTACTAACTACTAAGTAGATGGAACAAAAACATCTGGATGGCGCCAGGCCCCAAGGCATGTACCCACCGGTTCCTGACTACTGCTTAGTATAAGCGCATTAATGCCAGGAACATGGCACATACCTCTTGGCCCCAAGTGCCGAATAATACCTACCTAGGTACCTAGGTAGGTAGCTGGGACTAGTCTTATACTTAGTAATAGTTCAAATGTTACAACATCCCTACTTATGCAGGGCGATATGGCCAGTTGGCAATACTTGTGCTCCGTAATCAAGCAAGCACCAAAGATGAGTCGAACACGTATGCCGTACTCCATACTCCGTACATATGTACAATAATTATGAGAGAACATTGAATGCCCAATCAGCCAACCTTTCAAGTACCTCTAGGGACCTACTGAATTGGTCAACAAGAGTCTGGACTCGTCTATACGCAATGTTGCACTCGCAATTGCGTTCATCTTAAGAGCGAGATGCAACTCTGGCTGCGCGTATTCGAGATACGCTCAATCATACATTCAGGATAAGTAAGCCGAGCAGGTCCAAGGCGCCATACGTGTCGTGCGCAATTTTACGCCAGTGCCCGAATATTTTAGCTGCGGCGTGTTTCAGCTCCTCGGCTTCTGTCATGTCTGTCCATTTTCCCATTTCCCTCTCTTCACACCTTTGTCGACAAAATGGTCTCGTACCACTCGAATCCTGTCGCACAATAAAAGAGCGGCCAGAGGAGGCGTCAATTCGGGTTGCGCTGGCACCCACTGGTTCTTTTAACACCCCGGCGAAGGCAATTCCCTGTTCTCATAAAATATTCTGAGCTAGAACCTGGACGGTAATTTATCTTCCGTGCGGGCTCCTCTCTCGCTTTTTGCTTCCTTTTCATCCCCTCTCGTCGTCTTTGGTATTTTTAATCGACCCTGCCGGATTTGCCACTTCCTTTATTTTATTTTATTTCTTTTTTTGACCGCTTCTTTCCCTGACCTCCCGATTCGGTCCTGCTCGTCCAATTTTTTATTTTTTTATTTTTTTTTTTTTATCGACAGGAAAAGAACCTCTACCCGCTTCTGACCCTGGGACACGGAGTCGGAAGGAAGGAGGAGTCAGCAAGCAAGCAAGCAAGCAAGCGGAAAGGCACGACCAGCGAAATTGGGCGAGGCCCAATCAGCGCCATCTTCCAATTTTATTCTGCTCTCATTTATTTGACCGACATTCGAGTCTTATTGATATTGAAGCTTACGCACCCCTGATCACCGTCAGGCTCTGACAGGCCACAGCAGACGAACCATACTTTGGGATTGGGCGAGGACTTGGGACCAAAAGAAGAAAGGGCAGGCATTCTTTGTCTCCCACCGGCTGCACGCCTTGAGCTGCACCTGCATATCCCCGGCAATCTCACTGCACGACCTGCAGGCGACACATGCACTGTTTCTGCGCGTCGCTGGAGACGAATCCCACCACGGAACTACGGAGGACTTGTTGTCAATCGCAATTGATCCCAGTAACACAAACTCGACCACTTGACTGGGCTACTACTGGACTCTTGCTGGACTATCACTGTTCATCTCGTCAGATATTCATTCACCTTCCGCACACCACTCTAACCGATCGTCCCCTCACCCCACTTTATTCTCTGGGTGCCCGCCGAGCTCACCTACAGACATCAGCTTCCATTCGCAAGACCATCGCTCTCGCAACGACTGGCCAAGTCGTGAAGTTCATCTTACATTGGAAGCCCCTGCTGGCGCCAATTTTGTTGGGCTTGGTCGACATACCAGTTTCCTTCGTCATTCGACTGCAAGGTCCATTCCTCTGGCCGCAGTTGGCCAGCCAGCGCATCAGGGACCACTGGTCTCCTGACCGGGGGCGTTTTAAAGTACCCTCCGTAATCGATTGGCCATCGACATTTTACGCTTACTGAGTACAAGGCTAGGTCCTGTCAGGCCTCGACGCCTTCCGCGCACTGCCGCATTCTCCACTCCATTGTTCCACTGGTACTTGACGCCTTGAGTTGAAAGCTGGGTGGTCGCCACAGAGCCGCGTTACTTGTGCCTGTGGTTCTTTGCTCGCTGGAGCACTCCTGAGGCGTCATCTAACATGACCTCCGACGGACCGGTTAGTGGTGTCATAGTCCACTCTGTCCACATGCCCGGCTCTGGTGTCGACGACGAGGAAATTGCTGTGGCCTTGCAAAGCGAGGAACCCGAATATCAGCAACCCGACCGCATCAAAGAGCAAGACGAGAATGAGGTGTTCGAGGTCTTGAGCTTTGCTGATGTCCCTGCCAACATCTCTGACCTCCCAGCACCACGTGGCCCGTTCCCTGCCACAGCTGCATCTACCATCGGTGCCACTGTTAGTGCCACCAGCGAAGACGAACCAAGCACCCTCCCCATTCCCTTAGACACGCCCGCCTTAAGCCGCAGCACCACAAATAACACGGTTCGTAGCACCAGCAGCGGAAGCTTCACTAGCAGTACAGCCAACAACCCTAACAACCCCAGCTCCGCGTACGCACGCGTACCCGGTCCGGCCCTGCCTCATCACCAACCTCCGACTTCTGCTATCCGCAAAACTTCTCCAGGTCTTGCTGCGAGACTAAAGGCCCTCGGGTTTGGGACCTTGA